TTATTTTTCGAACCTTAACGTTAGAACCGTCCACAGCAGTCTTTACGTGTGTCAATCCCCCATATTTGCTTGGAGCGTTGAAACAACAGGTGATATTTTAACAGCAAAGTACTCGTAGGGTACACTTTTAAATGATATTGTCAGTTGAGCTCAGTACGGCATGATGTCGGCTCTCCATCACGTTGGACGTGCACCATCAATATTTGTACATTCACTTCACATTGCTCCCAATATATGGATTAAAGCGTAGCATATTAAATGCCCGTCGCCTAGCAACGATAGTAAAAACTTAACAATACAGGTTGTGATTCAGAACAAATGCGTTTGTTGGCAATCATGAGTATATCGTGTAAAATGTTTGAATCGCTCTTTCCTCCATGAAAAGTGGATTACAAGATAGTGTGTGGTGTGGGGTATGTGGTGTTTTGTGAGGAGATCAACATTTGCTTTGAGCCAGGTAAAAGAGTCTCAACTAAGTACCCGATCTGATAAGTCACTGAAGGATTCGTGTTAGCTAAATTATTGTTTTCGATGTCCTAAATTTTGAGTTCATTGACTGTTGAATTTCCTGGTAGACCCAGTGATAGGTTGACTATCTAAAGGTAAATCGTTACCAACTTAATGACGCTCTAGGAAAACGTCGCGAGCCTCCAAAAATCATCAGTTATTTTATGACTCACACATTAAAGGTCGTTTATAATCATTAAATTTTGTACTGCGTAGATGTTCACGGGCACATTTGTGAATAATATAAAACAAATAGCAGATATTTATGAATAATTCAAACTCGAGATGTTATCGGTTAAGCCTACTTTATATTAAAAATAAAAATGTTCCTTGTTCTCTGACTTTATATTATCGTGTGAAATGTGTTAATGATTTCTGTAAGTAGCTTAATATATATATAGGTACTTGCAAATTTAAATTTTCCACATTTAGTACTATTAGTACTATTTTTGAACAGTGTCGTGAAATAGTGTTAAGTACCTTTTGTTTAAAACAAGTGCCACACAAACCACAATAAATAAAAATACATTAAGTAAATTATTTACAAACGTTAAAGGACAGAGCTTTGACAACGGTAACGAGAAAACTGCTTTTAGTCTGTTATAAAAACAAGTTCATCATTTTAAATACAAAGTGCTCTTAATTACGATGTCACAGGGTGGGGCAATTACTTTCATTCATCTCTTACAGTGTACGTGCTCATTATGTACTCAGTTGTCATTTGTTTACAATTCTGGTCGATTGCGTCGCGTGTCATTTTACTGACGTCGCATGTCCTAGAGGGGTACCTACCTAACGTAAATACCTACTCGTACCTATGCAGTGAGCTCTTGCGCACTCGTACGTGATCAACGCTCAATTCACATTGTCAACTAACGCTTGCCACGTTCCTTTTTCAAAACAATGACAATATTGATGATCAAACATTTTCATAAATGATTGAAAATGCTGAATTGCAGTATTAAAATATTTTAGTGTAGATACTTTCTCACGCTTTTTGTAGGAACTTTAATTGTTTTTTGAAACTTAAGAATGCAAAATAACAGCTATTAGGTACCTATCATACATTTTTTCATCCTGTATTTCCTAAAAGTCTTTGACCCATCTAGTGGGAGGTCCGTCTATGTTACCTGCCTACCAAAATACAGCACAGGTGTAGTTCAAAAAGATGGCGTCTCGCCTTACTAGCGTGGCATAAGACCGATGACTCATCCTGCTTACTATGCAGCGAAAGTACGGTGTGTCCTTTTAAATATATATTTTTTCTATCGGTACCTTAACGGTCCGTACTCCATTGTAGTCTATTGTGTGCAGTGGTTATTATTTTAAAGCATTATTATTAAAAGTGGGAAGTGATTTGTTACGTTGGTACATTTTTTGTAACCAACTGTCATTTTTGAATAGGTTCATAGAGTCAATACTGGCGCCATAGATACACTTGATTCCTCAATCTAATCTCTGATAACAAACGTTTTACAATCATGAATTGTCTGTCTCTTTCTGATATAGATGTATTTATTAATAGTTGAGACGTCTTTTAGACTTTCTGATGTTTACGTATTAATATATGGTTTACTAACATAGGTATTGGATAATTGCCATTAGCTATCTCACTTTTATTTTTAAATATCCTATGACGTAAAGTCATAGGGACACACGTAATAGCGATAGGAGAAAAGTAATAAGTATCACATTGGTAGGTAATTATAAAAAGTACATAATTGTGACTGATGTATCGGAGCTGTATACACTGTTAACGGTAGGATTATTTCACAAAGGACGTTAAAATAATTGGACAGATCACAAAATACCAAGAGTGTTGCACAGAGTTTTTTTAATATAACGTTCATTGAGTTCTGTACGTCATGTTTTAACGGATGCAATATCGCTGTATCAATACTGGTTTTCACGAGACCAGTGAATAAAATACGTTATTCTTTTTGAACGACTGCTACAGCCGTAGCCGCCATATGTATAAATACATAGGTAGGTAAATATTACGTGACTCATCGATTTGTCGCTCGTCAAAGGAAAAAGTAAATTTTAATATTTGTACTGTACGGAAATGAAAACCCTTTGGCGTTAAATATTTTGTACGCTACGTTTTATTTACAATCCTGTGTTTCTATTTTTGACGGTAGTATTCTGGTTTGTTTATCAAAGAGATATGTATGTACATAATTCTACGTAGGTATAAATAGACTGGTATTAAGCTAGTTGCATGTAATTTTAAGCATCATAAACAGTTAGAGTGGTTCCCCACTACGTCCGATCCGAATCAGTGAAAATACGAATTTAGAAAAC